GCTTGGGTTAGTGAGAGTGAACCTCTGATAATAATTTTCCCTTAAAACATCTTGGTTTAGGCAAGGGCTGGACTGAGAAACAAACTGCCTGTCTTTTTGTATTTCAAAGAGTCAGAAAGAGCACGTCATGCAGAATGCACTATAGCTCCGTATTGCAGTTTACATGGAGTTGACATTTTCCTTTTATGGTTTCTTAGTAATTGTCTGAATAAATAAGATGGGCCAAAATCTTTTGATTTCATAAATTTTCTTTCCGTTTATGAAATCCCTGAGGAAGCAACGAATGTAGACTTGTTTTCAGTGTTAAAAAATATGACCCGGGATGGGTAACCGGCCCTAACAGGGATGGTCTAAGCCGGGTAAAAAACGGTTAAAAAAATTTAAATATTCTTTTAAAAAATTCTAAAAAATATGCAAAGTATATTTAAAAATATAATTAAATAAAGAAAAGTCTTTCCAACACCAAGAGGCGAAAATAAACAGTGATTTCACCTACTTTCATCACCGTCTAAAGTTCATCGCATGATCACGATTTTCCGGTAGTGTTTCATTTTTTATTTTTTATACAATTGGAATGATTTGAAATTTGGAGCGTGTGTAAATCTTAGTAAGGCGCACCTACTAAAAATATAAAAAAAATAATTCACCAAAATCCCCCAAAACATTTTGGGGGTATTTTGGTCAATTGTTTTCATGTAAAATATTTTTTTGATATTTTTCGTAGATTCGCCTATTTTTGATGAGCATAAACTCCAAGTTTCAGGTTATTTCGATTAGTAAAAAAAAAAATACTACCAAACAATCGTGACCGTACGATGAAATTTGGACGGTGATTAAAGTAGACGAAATCATTCATTTTCTCTTATAGGTGTTTTGTAGTAAATACATCCAAATGAGGTTAAAAAATAATGAAAAATGAATTTTTAAAAATCAATTTTTGTCTAGGGGCATTTTAGAAATAATCTAAAAAAAAGAAAGGAAAGTGTAAAAATAAATATTTCAGGCAAAAAAAAAAACTTTTCAATATTATCCAAAAACAATAACAAACATTAAAAAACCTATAACAGACAAATTTTTTTTATTTTTTATTTATTTTTCTAGTTTTGTTTTATTTATTTGTTTATTTTTTAAATTTTTCGGTTTGACCACCCTGACCGACCAAAAACAGCCACGGCCAGTAACCAGTACCAAGTAACCCGACCGGGTCCGGGTCAACCCGGCTGGTTTTCAAACCCTGCTTGTTATCATGGAAAATAGCTACCGGGGCCTAGAGGTCAGGTAAGGAAGATTAAGTTTCCACGGTCAAAATGATGGAGAGAGAGAGAATGAGATCTTTCTCTTGCATAGAATAAGAAGAAAGAAAGGAGAGAAATAGGTTCATCTCTCTTGCTTACAAGAGAGAGACATCTTTCTCTTGCCTACAATAGGATGGGGCATTAATGCTCTACGACTTAAGAGATAGGTTAGTGACTCTATACCATGGGAAGAGATGGGGCCCAAATTAGTAATTAATGCACCATCCTATTGGTTTTTGCATATATTATATTAACCATACTTAATTTTTAAATTATTTGTTTTGAACTTTGTGATCCATTCAATTTATCAAATTTCACATATGGTTATAAGTACTTGTGACCTCATTGTATCAAAAGTAAATAGTCTCATTGTATAAAATCACTTAAACAAAGTGTTGGATATGGTGATATCCAAAATCACCCCAATAAAGAAATCTCATGTTATGTAGGATTGAAATTGACATTGATAAGTTACCTATAAAAATAAAAATGTTAAAAGATTAGGACTCTTGGATATGTCTCATGGTTTTTGAGATGAGTAATGATACTATGAGACTCTCCCAAACTCATGTGAATAGAACTTCAAAGGATCACTATTAAATTTTGACACAAATCTCTAGAAAAGTTATCAATAAACCCAAGTCCCATACCCATGTGATAACTTTTCTAGAGATCTGTGTCAATTTAATGGTGATCCTTCGGGGTCCTACTTACATGGGTGTGTGAGGGTCTCATAGTGTCATTACTCTTTTGAGATATATGTAACATCTATGAGAGATTTCTTATTTAGTTTGGATTCCTAATATATATATATATATGAGATGAAAGAGGAAGAATATGTATGCCTTATTTGGGTCACCATATGAGAAATGTCATTTCCTCTAGTGAGAGGCAAGGGCCTCCCCTTAGAGAGAAAATAGTTTCATGTGGAGGAAACACTACTATGGTGTCTCTTGTAGATTGCAAGCTTCATAGACAATGGTTTAGCAATTGAGAGCCTCTTGTAGATTGCGAGCTTCATGGACAATGGTTTAGGAGCTTCCTAGATAGTGGTTTAGTAGGCGATTGAGAGCTTCCTGGACAGTGGTTTAGTGATTGAGAGCTTCCTGGACAGTGGTTTAACGGGCGATTGAGAGCTTCCTAGATAGTTTGTAGATTGAGAGCTTCTTAGACAATGGTTTAGCGATTGAGTGCTTCCTGGATAGTGGTTTAGTGGTGGAATAGAGGTAAGAGATGGGCAGATAGTTCTGGTAGAGAAAGCAGGTCTGAAAGGGGTGTCTCTTGTAGATTGAGAGCTTTCTAGATAGTGGTTTAGTGGTGAAATAGAAATGAGAGATGCGCAGGTGGTGCCGGTAGGGAAAGCGGTTTTAAAAAAGTTTACTTGACTACGTTTTGTTGAGGGTTAAAAAAATAAGGATGTGTCTCAAAATCTTTTATGTAACTTCATTAATATAGTGGTTTTCAATTTGCTATGCCCATGGATGCAGCCCTTTTTGGGTGAACCACGTAAATCATTGTGTTATTGTGGTATGTGTGGTTTATGCTTTATTTCTCGCATTATAGTTTGTACTTTTACCTATTTTGTTTCTAACTGGTTAGGTGCACAATCGTGATGGGATCCAACTTGTTGGGCTTCCCGTTTTTGCATCTAAAAGGGCTCTTAAATCCTAACACGAAGGCCTTTTCAAATTGTAATGGTTGTTACATAATAGTGCACCAACCAATCTCCATGGATTGTAGAAAAAAAAAGGTGGCCACTCTATAAGTCAATTATTGCGATGGTTCTTTTAAAAAGGAAAAGGTTATTATGGTGTTGTAGCTCAAATCTTGTCGGTTTTAGCATTGAAAGATTCTCACGTTGATGATTTCAATCTCGACAATTATGGATGTGAAAAAAAAAAAAGGATTTCGAGCAGGATTACAAAAAGGCGTCCTGTAAACATAATTTATAGCATCGATTTTCAAGTGTTCACAGATCCACCAAATGAGAACCATTTTAGGAATTTCAGATTTAATAGTGATTGACAAAAGAAGATTTTCAGACAATCAGGCTTGCAATGGGATTCCAAGGTGAGGCTTTCATTTATATTGCCAAGGCCTTTCAACCACATCCTTTAGAAGTGCCTATTGTGTCGGTTATAAATGCTCAGGTTACACATTTTACTTACAGGATGATCAATAGAAATTGGGTATACTTAATAGTAATTTCTTAACACTGATCGAATTTTAGCAGCGTTATCCTAGTTTGTGGCTCATGTTTGTTTTATTTTATTGTGTAGCAGTAACTGATTCTTGTAATGTTGGATTGCCCAGAGTCATCAAAGATCAAGTCTCAGATTGATATCGATATGAGGACCTTAACAATGGTCATGCTTTAGTTTTCACTGCAAGCTTCTATCTCTCTCCATATTCTCATGTATTGTTGTCATTTGTCTAATTTACTTTTCTGTTAATACATGTTACTAATATACTCTTCGTAGTTATGTTTGAGTGATGTATTTTCGAAGGGGCGTTTGGATTCGTCTAGGTCCTTGTGTGCTTGCACTAGTGTACTAAGTTTTAAAGCGTGAGAGCGGTCTAGTTAGTCATAGAAAATTATTAATAAGAATTAAGTATTTTGATTTTGTAACTCGTGGAATGCTTATTTGTGCTCTATATCTGAACTACTAAATTATCTCTGAACCATGATAAAGAATAACCGAGCATACATTTGTTTAAATTTCCAATTACAGTAAGAAACTGTCAACATTATAATGGATTTTGCGAACCCTCCTAGCTCCATTGGTCATCCTTTGAATTCCTTATATGCTTCATTTATAGTTGGGAAATTTATCAAACTACACCTAAGATTTTGAAATTCTTGATATCTTACTCGTATTTTTTGATCTAATTCCATATAGCCCATCATTCTTTTGATCAAATTTTAAATAGACCATCAGCTGACACTATGAAATTTATCAAATTACGCACATGGTAAAATGTCAAATAGTTGAACGTTTTAGGTGTATTTTGATAAATTTCCCTTGTCAGTATGCTTATCTAAGAGGATGCAGCAATTTCCCTATTACGAAACGAAATAATTTTTTCCATTAACATTGTTGTGAGCTTTGACACCATATTTGTAAGAGTGAAGTTGATGTAAAGTATGAACCTTAAATTTTGTCCATTGAGAGCCACTATACTACACATGCAAAACCTACAAGGTTGTGATTCTTGATTGGGAATCCTGATTATTCAATTGGTCCTTGCCTTTTGAAGTCTGATGTGCTATCCCTACTTAAGGAGGCATGAAGCATCTTGTGGAACATTTCTGCAAAAATCTATTGCAAGCATCTTATAAATGGGAAACTTGCCCTTGTATCAGGATGCTCCAAACGAATCCATTTCCATCACCAAATTATGCAGCAGTATCATATCGGCCATTAATGCAAAGCTTGCTCATACATATTTGAGAAGTCTTCAGTTCTTCTGTATGAAATCTTTAATTCTTCTATAAGTTATTCATCTTCTATTATGGCACATATGTATTGCAAAGCCACTTTGTGAGTAGAAGTTTTACATAGAAATTACATACTCTAATACACAAACTAATTTTGGGTAAAAGAGTCGTTTAACTTGTATTCCCAGGGCATGTCGAAATTCATTATTTCTATGTTGTTTTACTTGAAAATAATAGTAAAATTTCCATAGTTGTCATACAATAGATTCCTTGCATTCATTGACTGGTTATTTTTTCAGTGGAATTTTGAATTACAGAATTGAGAAGATGAATACATCCGGCAACAATTGTCTACTTTGCAGAATAAAAGTAAAGACTAAATGAACAACAAAAGAACCACAAATTGGCTTATGAAAAGTGAGGAAAGTCCATTACATTGAGGCTAGCTTGGCAAGAACACCGACTAGAGGAGCAGTGTTATAAGATGATGCCTCTGCATGGGGGGCACTGTTCCTAGTGTCGTCGTACCAATCGTTCTCGTCTGGACCTCCGACTATTGCACCATCGATGACATTTGGATTAGGGGCGTCGCGATTGAACCAGTCCACAAAGCCCTGTTGACAACCCACAGGTGTTGGGTCCTTCTTCACTGACACAATTGAGGCACCCCTGTGGTGAACCTTTCCTGGGAACTTAGGTCCAAATCCTACCATGTAACTCGTGTACATTGGATTGTTGCCAAGAATGTAATCCACCTGTGTTTTTAGAAAATTTCTATCAAGAACTATTTTTGGCCATATTTTCGTATTATCTTTGTTAAAAGAGAAAATAAGTGGTTTATTCTGTCAAATATTTTCTTGGTTAATTTGTTATCTACAAGTGTAGTTAGCAGCACCTTAGAAAATGAAACAAGATTCGAAGCATCTTATCAAAGTATAGAACTATGAGTGATTTATGTATGGACCTTAAAATTTTAGGTAAAATACGGAATGCTTCAATTATATGAGAACATTACAAAGAAGGTCAGTCAATCCCTTTTTTTTTAAAAAAAAAAAATTGTCTATCGGGGTCAACCCAATTTTTAATTTTTTTTTAGTTTTTTTGTTAATAGGGCAGTACCTTAAAATTTGGGGCACTACCCTAATGGAAAAACTAAAAAGACTTAAAAAAATAATTAAAATTCCGGTTGATTGAGGGGTAATTTTGAAAAAATAAAAACGGCCGGTTGACCGACCTTCTTTGTAATTTCCGTCTATAAGCCGAGCATTTTGTATTTTATCTAAAATTTTAGTATCCGTGCATAAATCACTCTATTGTTTTTTGATCTTTGGATTGTCAATTTTATTTGCAGAATGAATAGAAAAAGAAAGAGAACTTTCAAATAAATTAAGGGAAACAAGAACACTAATCTTCTAAAGTTATATTCCGATCCAAAGTATGCATGATTCTACCACCCTCGTTACTATTATCTAAAGTTTGTGAAGTCCTGCTACCAATATTTGCAAATCCCTTTTCCAATATAGAGATCCCCTTCAAACTATTACTGCAATAGAGGAATATGCAATAATTTGCATGGCTATGCAAGGGAGAAACTCATACCTGATACAACCATCACCGTCAAATTAATGGTTGGATGGAGGAGTAAGATCTAGACTTGCTAGAGCATGATATGATTCCAATGGTGGACCCACTCTCTCGCCATCAATGACTAATCATTGGTTGGATTGCGATGACATGATTAGGATTTCCCGAAGTCATGAGGATTACAATGTCCCTTCCCAAGTATGTTAGGAGATAATTTGTGAAATCGCTTGATACTTTCGAAAAATTTCTAAGAAATTATGACCCATCCTTTCATGGGTTAATTGAAATTTGATTGAAAGAATTAGGCTTGGTCGACAGTAGATCATGGGCAAGCTTTATATGCTTTCTTTATAGCATAGAAGTTCTGTCCTCCCCTTTATCCAACCGTCCATTTTGAATGGAGGGCTAAGATTGTCCCAATCACAATGTCATGCCTCTACACTATTTTATTTTTAATTTTTTTTTATAAATTATTTAACACCAAATTTTGGACATCCATTCCTATATTAAACTTGCACTAGTGAAAAATATAAATGTTTTTTTCAATAAAATAAAATGACCAAAATACCCTTGAAAGATTCAAGGGGTATTTTGGTCATTATATTTTATAGAAAAAATAAATATTTTTTATAGGTGCGCCTCAATGAGAAGATGACACGTACCAAATTTCATATTCTTACAATTTGTATAAAAAAGACTAAAAATAAAATACTTTGAGATGTCGGATCTAAGATCAAACGATAAGTTGCTCTCTTGATCAAAATTGGCCGGCTAGATGATAGGGGAAAGATAGAACTTCTATGCTGTAAGGAAAATATAGAAACCTTTCCCTCATCTTATACCCCAAAACGAAAAGACGAAGGACCGCTTATGTAAGTACCTTATCTTATACCCCAAAACGAAAAGACGAAGGACTGCTTATGTAAGTACCTTATCTTATACCCCAAAACAAAAAGACCAAGGACTACTTATTAAGTACAAAAATCAGCAGGCACACCATTTATTTAGCGATGAAACAGAAATTGCTTTGTGTTTAAATTGACATAGGAGAAGAAAAAGCAAGCAAAGAGAATGGCAATGAACCTGAGAACGGGCAAAGGAGAAAAGCTCTTGTGGCTGAACCTGGCCGGCGTGGCAGCTGAGCATCTTAGGCCCACCCGTTGCCGTGGCCAAGTAATCAGAATAAACAGTGAGGAGGAAAGAGGAGGAGACGACGTCTTGGAGGTTATCGAATGGTTGGAACCAAAGCATTCCTGCAGGGGTCCTTGGCAAATTGAAGTTGCCTTTTTGGAGGTAATTGCACAACAGCTCTTCCAAGTTGCTCTGGTACTGGCCCCATATCCCCTGTCCTCCTATTTTCCCTTGTAGTAGGAGCTAGAGAGAGAGATTCAACAATCCATCCAAATGAATACATGAAAAGGATTCGAGGGAAAAATATTAGTGATTATCTCTTTACACATGAAGGTCACAATCATTTCTACAAATTAGATGTTCGATTGGATGATTTAAGGTAAGTCATCGAAGTCCAAATTTTTTTTTTTTAAAACTTTATTTCTATTCAATGACACCCTTACCATCACCTATTTTGAAATTTAAGATACAAGAAATGATTGGAACTTCTATGTACACCAATCACTTCACCCATTTAAGTAGTATGGCGTACAAAAACCATAACAATTACTTGAGAGAGAAAGAGAGAATCGTCTTTTGAAAACCCTAGATCCATGATCCCTCAATTGGATGATCCAAATGAATGTTTTTTTTGGAGAAAGAAAGCATTAGGGCATTTCTTGAGCTCCATATCGTATTTCCTCTATTGTGCTGGTAAGCTGCAATATGGGCCCTAACCCAAATGGCTAGGGTTCGGAAAAGAGAAAAACTTTCGCAATATCAAAATAGAGCATTAGACTCATATTTTTCAAGTATACAAATTGGGATGGAACCGGGGGGCCACCCTTGGCCATAGCCGGGTCTAGTCCTCATTGGGCCAACCTAGGCTTGCTAGGCCTTAACAGGGCGAAAGAGGCCTTGACCTAGGCTAGGCTCTACCCTTATCAAGATTGGGTTGAGTAAGATTGGGCTACATAGAATCACATAAAGCAAAGAAAGAAATAAAGATAAAAGAGCAGGGTGGGGGCCGTGGCTGAAGCCCAGCCAGCCCTACCGTTGGGCCAGTCTCTTGGGCCACACTCTATGATCCATGCCCTATTTTTTAAGGGCCTAATAAAAGACAGTGACCTGATTGATTATTGAAAAAGAGGTCCAGTTTAACATTGAACCTGGTCCTAAAATACTAGGGCCTAGGCCGGCCTGAGCATAGCCACTGTGGCGCTAGGGCGGGTCAGGACCACAATAGGGCTAACCCGAATTTTTCGTTTTGGCATGTTTATTTACGCATGGAAAGGAGAAGAAGAGAGGGTGACCTTTGAAACTAGAGCTTGAACCCCCGGGAATTTGTCATCCCATGCTAAGGATTTCCTTATACCTCCTGTGCTTCCAGCTTTGCTTAAATAGTCCAAATACATCTCATAACCAGTGGCTTCATAAAGCCATGCTGCACCCCATAGCAAATCATCCTGTGCAAACCATTCCTTAGAGAGAGAGAAACTCAAAGATAGTTATTAGAGAGAGAGAGAGACTTACTTCATATAAAGAGCTCTCATAGAAAGTCTTAGCGTCGGGGATGCTGTCGTGATAGTACCCAAGGTGGTTACGACCGAACTCGAACAGCTGCAAACGTATTTCACTTGGCTTAGCTTATTCCTCACCTCATGGACGACTAGTATGGAGTCTCCACAATTAAGCTCCATTTTGTTTTTTTTTGTATTTTAGGTTGTTAAAAAATTAGACTTTCAAATTAATGACAATAACCTTCAAAATATGGCCTATACAATAATATTGTGTCTTTTTTCTGTTCTATTATATAATTTTATTTTTAATTTTTCCATAATGAATGGGCACTTGAAATGGGGAATATGATTTTATTTGATGTTAACTTTTATAATTTTTTGAAGGCAGAAGGGAGTAGAGAAAAAGCACTCAAAGTCGGTCGAGTAACTCGGGCTCGAGTCCTTGTCAAGCTTGATTTGTCCCGAGTTGGGTTTCCAACTTGGGAATATTAGAAAATAAAAATAAAAAATTATAAAATTCTAAAAAAATAAGAAATTTATTTGGGATATGTTTTTTTTATATTATCTATAATTTTAGAAAAGATTGGAAAGTGTTTTAGCCATAAATACTTAATTTTACATTTTTTATCTTTTTTATATTATTTTAAAAAATAAGCACAATCGCAAGGTGATTTTTTAAAATCAATTTTTTTTTTTTTTTTTACTATCATGTTGATGTTGATGTGTTTTGCTTAATCTTACTTTAAACATAAATTTTCTATTTTTTTTATTCTTTTAATATTTATTATATTTGTTATAATTTTTTAACCATTTTATGTTGTTGCAGTAATGGGCACCACTCGAGCTGAGTTACTCCGACTCAGTCGGAGTACTCAGATCGAGCATGGGTCGAGCAATAGGCCCAAGCAGCGGTTTCCAACAGAGAAAAAGAGAATGCTTGCAGCTCTTTTGAATGGGCAATGTTGGAGGAAGAGAGAGGAGGTAAATATTTCTATAGAAATAAAAAAGAGGGGATGGAGACAGGCAAATCTCAACGAGACCCAAGAGAGGGGGAGGATCATTATGTTTTGGGGAGAGAGAGAGGTCTCAAACCAACCTGCTTAGCATGGCCTAAGAGCAGTGCACTGTACCGTGGATCGGCCTGCTGGAAGACCACTGAGGCCGCGGCCATCGCAGCGGCAGTTTCTCCAGCAAGGTCGGATCCCGGGTGCGAATCATCAACTTTAAACGCTGGTCTCGGTGTGGTCATGTCCTCGGGCCTTTGCCAGCAGATGTGGTCTGTGGCTCCCTCGCCTACTTGTCCATATAATACATCGGGTTGGGGATGGGCCTTGATGAAGTAGTCCGTCCCCCATCGGATGGCGCTCATGGCATTGCCCAACTCCTTGTGCTGACTCAGTTGCTGCCAAAACTGGATCGTACTCCATGCAAGCATGGTGACGGTGAAGGCCATGGGGAACCCGAACTTTACATTGTCACCAGCATCATAATAACCCCCAGTGAGGTCTATCTGTGGGAGAGAGAATGATTCTTACTAATTTTTAATATGTTAATGGGTACAAATGAAATCTTGAAAGTACCCAAACCAAAGAGCATTCTTAAAAAAAAAGCATAACTTATATACAAAAGTCTACTCTAATTTATATGGTCATGGTTATATGGCCATCACTGCTTCCGTTATAGATTGGACGATGATAATAGACGGTTGGCAAAACCTGTATCGCATTATGACATCATTCCATGGGATCCACTCTCCACCATCTACCGTCCAACCTCTTTCATCAGCAGTGCTGACCATACTGTCGCGATGCCGCATGTTTCAAATTCGCACATGCACTGATGTGAAACATAAGATGCCGCTAAGGTGTACGTGTTCAGACATTGTTAAGGATAGAAATCAATTACCTGTCCTACATTCCTAAATAGAAACTCCAAAAATAAATTTTGGATTTTTTTGTGATGAGTTAAAATATATATTTATATTTTGAGACACTTTACGAGGTCTAAATTTGTTTTTGAATTTTATTAATAGTCATTTTGCGTGGATTAAAAATTGAGAAAGTTACGAAACGCCCAAATATACTATCTATGTAACTTACCTCTAGTTAACCTTTTCTCTCATTTTATTCCCCACAACCACATTTTTTCGTAAATACCCCCAATCCAAAAACAAAAGATAAAAGAAACTAAACTACCCCTTCTCTCTCCTCGTGGTTTTTACCGACGACTCTCTCCCCGTTGAATAGGTCTCTTCGGCAGTTGAATAGATCACTTCGGCAATGAAGACAAGCACTCTGGCAGTACAAAAACGCGTTCGAGTAGTACACCTTTTGGAGCCACATCGCTTTAACGGTTGAATTGGTCGTTTCGGTAATACACTATTTGGGACATCCAATTCACTTTTTTTTGTAAGGAAAAAGCATTTTTGTCCAAAAAATAAACTTTTTTTTGGGTGGTTTTTGCGAGGAAACGTGGTGTTGGGAAAAAAAGTGAAAGAAAGTTTTTGCGAGGAAACGTGGTGTTGGGAAAAAAAGTGAAAGAAAAAGTTCGTTGGGGGTAAGTCTAACAAAAAAAAAAAGAAAAGAAAAAAAAAAGACAAATTGTGCCCTAAGCATTTAAGATGGTAAAAAATCTAACTTTGGGGACTTCAAACGTCCAATTTTTGGAATGGGTAAAATACGAAAAAAAAAAAAACATGCCTTTTCGAAAGTTGGACTGGCAACCATCTAATCGGTTGTTCGAGAGTTGGACTTTAATCCTACCTTATGCTTCGGGCACATTTGTTTATTGGAAGCCGTGGCTTCCATCACTCTTGCACTTCTACTACTTGTTTATGGGAAGCGTAACATTGATATAGGAGCCATGGCTTCCAGCAGCCTCCAAATTGCATAAAAAATATGTGATTTGAGGAAGCTGCAACTTTCCTGCTAACCATGAAAGTTGTGGCTTCCAAAATGCATAATCCCGTTTTCCATGAAACAGACACCCCCGTTGTCTTTTTTCGTTTAGAGATTTAGATTTTTTAATCAGAGGCAAATAAAAATTAAAATTTTGAAAAAAAAAAGGTTTGGTTTGTATGAAAAATGTAAATTTTTTCATGTGGGCTGGGCCGATGAATCTCCATTGTCCAATTCGGTCAGACGGTCGAGATCGTACGGTATCATGCAATCTCCATCATCCAACTCCAAGTTGGACGGCGGAGATTTTATGCAGGCTAGTAGGTGGGCATATATAAAAACCGTGTGCCACAAAAAATGTCCACAAATATAAATATTTTTCATTTTAAAAATTATTCAGGGTGCCCAAGTAAATTTTCCAAGAATTGTAAGAAGCTGGAGAAGGGTCGGTTTCCTATTTTAGGTGGTGAGATAGTGACCACTGTTCTAAGTAAACCCGAGTTTGACCGTAGTCCTACGCATGCAAATGTCGCTATTCTCATCCTTTTTTCTCTTCTTCAATGGCATACATAAAAGCGCAACGATTCCCATTAGAGGTAGCAACAGGTCCGAGTCCGGCTGGAACTGGACGCAAAAAATACAATGGCACCTAGATTCCAATCCATACCCAAACCTGATCGGAGCTGAAGTCATCAGACCCGGACTCAAATCCAAAAATATTACAAGGAACCTAGATCCAGATTTGGACCAGACCGTACTTGATTGGACTCTCTGGTTCCCGAGTCTACCGGTTCATTGCCATCCCTAATTCCCATCCCCCCTCTCTCTCTCTCTTCGACAACACATGCCAGGTATGTATACATCTCTCTCTCAGGGAAATGCCAAGGATATCTATGCTATCTTTGTTTAATCTGACCTCTCCCTTCATTTCTTGGCTAGCATAGACATAATCTCATAAGTTATAATGGCCGGTGCTTCAAGACTCGGCCCAGTTTACTAAGAAACTAGGGTTTGGCCTATGAGCGAAACGAGTATTAGGGCCAATTAGGATTAAAGAAAAGTTTTTTTTAGAAAAATCTTAATTAAATGATTTGGAAAGACATTTTTAGATTATTTAGGAATTTTTTCTGTCATATCTAAATTTTTATTTTTTAGTTTCGATTTTTCTAAATTTTCAAGGTATAGAGTAATTTTTTTTCATGATCCATCATTTATGATTTTTTTTTTTTGTAAGATATGGCCGAGTCCGTAACCCGAGCCAAGTTTAAATACATTGAAAACGACTGCCGCCATGGAGCTCTAACCCGTCCTTAACAATCAGTTGTCACCAGATAAGAGAGGAGGACACATGATTTGCATGAGAATGCAAAATCTTGTAACTATGCTCGGTTGCACCTCATGCAAACACCATAAAACCTCTGAGGACTCAAACCTCATTATTGGCAACAAAGACTGCTGAATAACTAATCAAACAAGTGAATTTGACAAAGATTTTATTCGGAGTTAGGAAAATAGATGGCCCTTGTGATTTTTTTTATTCAAATAAAAGTAGAAACAAAGCTCGAGAAATAATTCTATTTTTCACCAAGTTTTTTACGAATATTTGAAAAGCATGACATTGTCAAAGGATCTCAGATGAAAAGTATATATATGTATATAGAAAAAGATCCTATATGCCTATGTGCGTATTGCTGCAGTAAACACCCAACGGTCCAGAATGAATATCAGTCTATCTGACGGTCACGACCTCATTTCGAGTTTGAAGTTTAATTTTTTTTTTAAATATCCAAATCACTTGAAATTTTAGACGAACGTTCTTGAAAAATAGGCGCACCTAATAAAAATATCAAAAAATTATTTTACATGAAATAAATTTATCAAAATACCCCCAAAATGTTTCGGGGGTATTTGGTCAATTTATTTTTATGAATTATTTTTGTGATATTTTTTATTAGGTGCACTTGATGAGAAGAACACATGCCTAAAATTTCAAGTGATTTGGATTTGTAGAAAAAAAACTTAAAATTAAAACATGAAGTGAGGTCGTGGCCGTCAGATCGGCCAAGATTTGATCTGGGTTGTTGGGCGTATTCTTATAGGTACACTCGTCGGGGTACCATATCATCTTCCTATATATATATATATATGGAAAATGATCGTACTTACAGATAAAAATGCGCCCAACAGCCCAGATTGAATTTGGGCCAATCTGACGGTCACCACTCATTTCGTATTTGAATTTGAATTTTTATTTCTACAAATCTAAATAACTTGCACGTTTTATTCAAAAATAGGAGAATATAATAAAAATATCAAAAAAAAAATACATGAAATAAAAATACCCCTGAAAAG